AAGAAACCCGATGGTCTTCGAGCGAGCTATCGTCAATAACAAATCAAGTCAGGTACAATATCCAATACAATCATCCAACATTATAATGAGGAAATAAATTTCAAGCTATAAGCGCATCCAACTAATGTCCTACACCAAGCAATGCTACTGTGATACGGTGGAAGAAATGACTTGGGTGTTTTGCGTTTTATCGCAAATGTTGCGGTTAGCAAGAGTCACCACCAACTTTTCTTTTATCCAAAAGGAAAGGCTGAAAAGAACAGGAAAGACCTTTGAGATTGTTTCTTGGGTTCGGGGGGTAGATTATGAAAAGGGAAGGTGTTTGCACCATTTTCATCCATATTTATCTATGGGATCTTAGTTGCTTTCTAGATCACTTGCTTTTGTTTGAAAATGTGCTTTGTGTGGTTTTTGAAAGTATTTTGAAAAGGTGTCATCGTTTAGGCAAACTTTGTAATAATTCTCATTCGTAAGAACGTATACAAAGTGTTGATCTTTTGAAAATGTTTCATGTTTGGAAAATGTTTTGAAAGTGTTTTTGAAAGTGTTGGTGTTTGTTTTAAAAATAAGCAAGAGTGTTTGATTTGAAATTGAGCAAGCAACTAGGAACAATCTACCTACTCAAAAGTCTTAGTTCATTTCTTTCTTTCCTTTGATATTTCTATCTTACCATTGATTTGGTATGAAGCCTTATCTTTGGATGTAAAAGGGATGGGTGTGGGTCATCGTATAGTCATGATAGTAATGTTGTGAGATATCTTAGCATTTCTCTTTGAGGGACTAATATCATTTTGAAAGGCAGCATTAGATAGCATCATCGAGGGACTATGATCTTGTATTTTTAATTTGTTTTTGCTAAGACATCCCACATGCATAACATGGTCATTTTTTATAAGTCAACAAATTGGAATTACCCTAAGGGTGCAAGTGTGCAAATTTGTTGATTTACATGCATTGTTTTGTCTTGAACTAGGGTTTGCTAACTTGTTTATTTTAGTCTTTCCATACAAACCCTAATTTACTAGCAGTTATATAAAGCGGTAAATTGCAGAAAGTAAAAATACTAAGCTATTACATCATTAGGGGATAGGGTATACAAATTTACAAATGGGGAATTTGCAAGAAAATTAAATCTAATTATCTATTACAACCATATTGAATAAATGTACAACAATTGAATAAATAATGTACAAATGCAAATGGAAAAAGAAATGATTTTTGTTTGGATTTTTATGAAAGGATTTTGTCTTGACCTAATTAAAGAAAATGATTAATTAAAATTGAATAAAATTAACTTAAACTAATTAAGAAAATAAATTAACTTAAAAAGGATTTTTAGGGTTTTTTTATGAAAAGGTTTTAAATTAATAAAAGTAAAAATGAGAAAATTAATTAATTAAGAGAAACCTAAATTCTAAGTTAATTTTAATTAAGAAAAATAAAATAATAATTAAATCTAAATCTAAATATTTAATATTTAATAAAAAAAGAAATTAATTTGTTTTAAGAAAATGTTTTTGTTCTTTTGTCTTTATAAAAAAATAAAATATATAAGTGTGAAAACAATAATAAAATTATTTTTGTATTTTTTATTAATAAAAATAAAAATAATATTAATAATAATAAAAATAATAAAATAAAAATTGAAATAAAATAAAATAGAAAAGAAAATAAAAGTAAATGAAAAAAGAAAATGGGACAGGAGTATGAAAGCAAGCAGGGGGTTAGAATCTAGCAAAAAGGACAAAAGCCCAACGGGGGAGGCCCAACGCCTGGCTGCAAAAAAAAGAGACAGAAAAATGTGGAAAAAAAAATCACAAAACAGACGCTGGGGCTCGAACCCAGGTCCTAAAGGTGAAAGGCGCGCGCTTTAACCACTGGGGTGGTGATACATCCATTGATATAAATAAAACAATAAATATATAATCTAAGTCAAGTCCTGAATGAACTTCATCTTCAACCTCCAGCCAGAGAACCTATAACTCATTCACTTCTCATCCATTCACTAAACTTCCAACATCAAACTTGTTAGAAATTTCCTCACGATTCTGAATATGTAAATAACTTAAGCTAATTCTCAAAGATGAGCATGAATTTCTAATAGTACCAAATTCTGACCTAAATATTTTCAGAGGTTCAAACTCAAAATTCTCCTTACTCAAGCAACATAAATGAAATCTATGGACATGTACAACTTCAATGCAATGATGTTTATATTTTATCTTCACAAATGCAAGTCTAACAATGCCTAAATGAGAAGATAGAAGTTTAAGAAAAATACCTCAAAACTGGAAATCGTGAAATGAGTTTGAGCTTGATTCAAGGTGCTGCAATGATCAGGTTAGCTTCCTTGAGTCTCTAGGAAGCTAATGCAATGCTTAGCTTGAGTTGAGAGTGGCTGAAATGGCCTGGAGAAGACCAACTGCAATGTGCTGTTTTTGGTTATGGAGGATGATGTAAATGGAGTTACAGTCGTGTAAAAGGGATAGGGATGGTTTGTATTTGATGTAAGGAAGCTTTAGGAACTAAAATGACAAAGAACACACGAGGGAAATATGAGTTTGGAGTTCAAGGTCAGAAATTATGCAATAATGGAGTTTCTGAGAAATTTCTGATTTGAGGGAGTTTGGGAGTGTTTCAGGGTGTTCAAGCTCATGTGTTAGGTTACATAATAGTGTCTCAATGTATAGGAAAAGATTTTGAGAGCTTGGGCTGATCAGAAGTACAAGTTCACATGTTATGGTTTTTTGCTTGATTTTGAAGAAAGCTTGAGAAGTGTGGTTCTAATGCACAAGTACAAAGCTATCTAGAGTTGTTAGGCACTTTAAACATGCTTATCTGATTGTGTAGAGGATGCTTGTGAAGAAAGAACAAATGCAAAGCTCAAGACAAGTTGACTTTGTGATTAAAGCCTCTTTACTAGAATGGCAATGTTACTTTGTGCCATTAATAGAAATGCAACTTCGATAATGGCTCAAATACTTGGAAAATGGCCCTATCAGTTGTGAAAAACATTAATTATAGAGTGACAAACAAGTTTGAGGTCTGCAAAGCAAATATTATGCAGCCTAGCATGGATTTGGTTCATGTGTTCTTCACAAAATGGCTTGTAATTCAAGTTTGAAAACCCTAACTTCTTGCCTTAGATTCTCCTTGCTCAAACATGATCTCAATAAGTTCTTGGACATTTTGGAAAGCGTGTAACATCCTCTACAACATCTATGTTGGACATTTTTGAAAATTCATCTTGGAACTATGTGAAAAATGTCCATGAAGTTAGCTCAAAATCCTGCCTAAACTAGGGCAAAATTTCACTAAGTTTCCTAGTTTAATGAACATGTATTCACAAAATCATAACTTGAAATCCATGCATTTCTAGGAGAATTTATGTTCTACAATATTTTAGATATCATTTAGATCTACAAATTTCATGTTGTAAGTTTCCTTTGAATCATTTTGCATCATGGTTGAAATTTGGCTCAAAGTTATGAAAAAATATGAAATTTTCAACACTTAGAAAAATTTCTAAGTTTAGAAATTTTGACTTTTCAAAATGAAATCTTGAATTTTTAATTTCTTGATGAACAAGTTTCATATTTTGACATGTTTTGATGAATTGTGATCTTTGACACTTGATTTTGACCAAAAAGTCAAAGTTTGACTTTTTAGTGTATAGTTGACTTTTCATCCGTTGACTGAAATTCATATATCAACCAATTGATTTTGAGGAATGTTTTGAGCCATGCCATTAGGTCAAAATGATTCTTTTGAATCCTTGAGATCATAACTTAAACCAATCAATCATTTACTATGTCAAAAATCAGAAATTGCTCCTTCTCAATCAAAACCCTATTTTGCCCTTTTGATGATCTGATCAAATTTCTTGAGGAATTGTGATCCAAACTTTATCAAATGACATATATAGGTTCATGATGTTGATATGGATCAAATATTATGAAGTTTTACTGTAAATTGACCATAGTTGACTTTTTCCCCAATACAACTGATTTTAGGTTAACTGATCAATTGACTGAGCAAAAATGTGATCCAAGACTTGAAACTTGACATGAGAAATCTTGAGGGTCCAAAATGATCCATGAAATTAATATGAGGCATTAAAAGTCCATTTATCCTTGTGGAATCTCAAAACCTAACTTTCAGTCATCAGTGTTTAAGGAGATGTCTTGAGATGATCAATCCATGTGCAGTCTTGAACCAAAGGAGATCTTGTGAGAGATTATTTGATAAATGAGAGGGCAAATTTTGGGATACAACAGCTACACAAGCAAAGAGTAAAATCCAACCAAATGCATCGCGATGAATCTCCTTTCAAAACTTGCACAATGTCACAAGAAGAGTTAGTAAATAACAAGGAATATCGAATGTAACTCAACAATCGACACCATAACTCAAAATGGCATATTATCATGCATTAGGCAAGATTAAACAAGCAACGGAAACGCAAAACCAATTACGGGGCAGCATGTGCATCATAACATGAATCACACGAAATATTGTCATAAAATCAACAAGACTCGAAGTCAATACCAAACAAACATCAAAATAAGGCTAATCATTCATGATTTAACAATTAAAATGCATTCGGAGCTTGACTTCCAAAATCGGGAGGCAACTCACACATGTGACAAAACGCACAAGAAATCTAATCAAAATCGAGTAAACTTGAACACAATCATCAACAATTGAACAACTATGTGTAAACAAACGTGAGATGCAAATTATATCACTAAAAACATGTGACAAAAGTGTCTGGGCAGCACCATTTTACTTCACAAATGTGCTTGAAAAGTCATCTCAAAATTAACCGAAATTAACATCAATGTTCCACAATTGTCTGGTTAAAGCTAGAAACATATAAACCACAAAATAAAACTCAAACCAAGTGCATTTTTTGAAGTCCGGACAGCACTACACCGTATCATAAATTCAGCCAGAAAATCACATCGAAAACGGTAAAAATCAACATTAACCATCCATAAATGTCCGAATATGATCAATTAAACTTCAAACAAATTTTAGAAGCGATTTTCACCTTGTTTACACATTCCGTACATCAACATATAATTAAACCAATATTGTACGAAAATGATTTCAACAAATACAAACGGATGTGGAAGCACACCTTTTGGTTCAACTATTATCGCTTAAAAATTATGAACAAGTTACAAACAATGAAACCGTACCAGATGTCTTAATTCCAAGCTTGAAACATCATTCATGAGTTAATGAAATTTACCGGATCAAGAGTTTTTCAATTTTGTGAAAATCAATTCGTCATTTAAATCAATCCGAAATTGCATTAACTCGTGAATTTACCGGTAATTCTCAACAACAATTCAAGAATCCAAAATTCTGGAATAATTCGACATCAAAAGTCATCAACAAAAGTATATCCATATTAAATCCTCAATTAACCAATTCAACATAATTTGACATTGAAAATCACAATCAAGAATCAACATCAATTTACCAGTTCACGGACAATTGTCTCAAAAATATTCAACTCATGAAATTATATCGAATTTAACTCATGCTTTTAATCAATTCAAGAATCAAAATAATCTCATGAATTCATATAAAGCTCAATCAATTCCACTTCTAATCATCATCATAAATACACATCAAATTTCAATTTCAAGATATAAACTCAATTCAATTCATGAAATTCAATTCAAGTTTAATATCAATTCCTCAATTCCACAACAATTATCAATAATCAAATGTGCGAGAAAACAAATAAAACAGGAGAATTCAAGAGTTACCGAAACGAAACGGATCGGATAGGAGGAAGATATATCTGGAAAATAATTACACGAAGGAGGAAGAGGAATCCAGAATCTCCGTGAAATCGAAGGGAGGCAGAATCGCCGGACGCTCACGGCGGAGCAGGCTGCATGCGCGATGGCAGAATCAACTCGCGGTGGTTCTTGAAGAGGAGGGAGTGACGAGAATAGGCCAATCCAAACGGCCTGTGCGGTGCAAAACGGAGGGAGATCAGGGATTAGGAGAAGCTTACGGAAATATTTGTGAAGAAGATGAAGATTATTTAAGATTCGATGAGTTTTTTTGTGAGATTGTGTTAAGTTGTTCTTGAGAGAATGAGAGAATAGTTTAGAGAGAGAGTTAGTTTTGATTTTTGTGAAATGTGAAAATGTGAGTAATTGTGTTTGAGATTTGGAATTTGAAATATATAGTTTTGGCTCCAAACTTGAATTTTCAACTTATTTTGTGCATAGTGCGAGATCGAACCATAAGTTCATAATAATCAGTGCGAATTCTTGACGCACAACTTGAAAGAAAACTCTTGATGACAAAATTTGTGATGCGGAACTGAAAGAATTGTCTCAATACGATAAACGCGGTGTAAAAATTCACAGTGCATAATTTTACAGCTTATTTTTTGTACGATGCGCAAACAAACCACAAGCTCATGATGTTCGGTGTAGAATCTCGATACGGACCCTAAAGAAAAAATGTCGGCAACAAAATTTTTGACGTAGTGCCGAAAGAATCACCCCAATACGATAAAAAACGAACAAGTTATGATTTTTTGAATGGCGAGAAACAATTGACATATTTCACCGTATTGAAAATTTCAGCTTATTTTTGTGCGCACTTTTAGATACAAACCATAGATCAAAGTCTTTGGAGCAAAATTTGAACTTGAGCCATGAAGCAAAGTTGAAGCTTACAAAGTTCACGTTTCAGATGTAAATGCTTTGTGTTAAATAATGGTAAGGAGAATCTAGGTAAATTTGACTCAAAAGCCGACGAAGGTATCTTTCTCGGATACTCTCAATCAAGTAAAGCTTATAGAGTATTTAATAAAAGGTTACATATTGTTGAAGAGTTTGTGCATGTTTCCTTTGATGAATCTGATCTGAAATTAGTCGGAAAGGGTAGTGTTTATGATGGAGCAGGTGTATATTCGGAAAGCATACTAAAAGATCCCAAAGAAAAGGACTTGGAATCTACTAAAATTGAAGAAGAGTTGGATCAAGTATCCGAAGAAAGAGGGGAAGATCATCCAAGTAATAAAAATGATCTTCATTTTGAATGGAAAACCTCTAAGGATCATCCCATCGACAACATCCTAGGAGATATATCAAAGGGAGTCACCACTCGATCTAAGATAAGTAACTTTTGTTATCATTTTGCTTTCGTCTCTCAAATTGAGCCTAAAAACTCCAAAGACGCCTTACTCGATGAACATTGGTTTTTAGCTATGCAAGAGGAACTCAATCACTTAAAAATAAAATAGGTTTGGGACCTTGTCCCTCCTCCGCGAGATCATCGAGTTATTGGAACTAAATAGGTATTTAGGAACAAACTAGACAAAAACGGAATTATAACTCGCAACAAGGCTCGTCTTGTTGCCCAAGGGTATAACCAAGAGGAAGACATCGATTATGAGGAAACATATGCTCCGGTGGCCCGACTCGAGGCTATACGCCTTTTGCTTGCATATGCATGCTCACAAAACTTCAAATTATTTCAAATGGATGTAAAGAGTGCTTTCTTAAATGGATACATTAATGAATAGGTTTATGTGTCTCAACCTCCCGGTTTTGAGAATTTTGAGAATCCTAACTATGTTTACAAACTTAAGTGTGCGCTATACGGTCTTAAACAAGCCCTTAGGGCTTGGTACAAACGTCTTAGAAAATTCTTATTAGATCAATGATTCTCAAGAGGAAAGGTTGACACAACCCTTTTTATTAAGCATGAAGGAAAAAATTATATTTTAGTTCAAGTATATGTAGATGACATTATTTTTGGTTCTTCTAACATATCTTTGGTTAAGGAATTCTCTAAGCTAATGCAAGGATAATTTGAGATGAGCATGATGGGGGAGTTAAACTACTTCCTTGGAATTCAAATCAAGAAACTAAACGAAGGGATATTCGTGAGCCAAACAAAATATTGCCTTGACCTACTCAAGTGATTCGACATGACAAACTCAAAAGCAATCGATACTCCTATGCCTACGGCCGTGAACTTAGAACAAGATGAAAATGGTAAACCCATCGATATAAAAAGGTATAGAGGTATGATTGATTCCCTTATCTATATTACGGCTTTTCGTCCAGATATATCATGTTTTGTGTTTGCATGTGTGCTCGGTTTCAATCATGTCCTAAGGAGTCACATTTAAAAGCCGTAAAGTGCATACTTAGGTATCTTAGTGGTACAACTAAGTATGGACTTTGGTTCTCCAAGGATAGTGATTGTTCTTTGGTTGGCTATTCCGATTCCGACTTTTCCGGGTGCAAATCGGATAGGAAAAGCACTAGTGGTACTTGTCATTTCTTTTCAAATTCTCTAGTCAGTTGGTATAGAAAAAAAGCAAGTTTTCGTTTCTTTGTCAACTGCCAAAGGGGAATACGTTGCAGCCGGTAATTGCTGTGCCCAAATATTGTGGCTCAAACAACAATTACTCGACTTCAATGTCCGACTTGATCGCATTCCTATTTTTTATAAGTGCCATTAACCTAACCAAAAATCCGATTTTGCACTCTCGCACAAAACATATTGAGATTAGGCATCATTTCCCAAGGGATCATGTGGAAAAGGGTGATGTCATTTTCGAGCATGTTGATAGCAAAAATCAACTTGCCGACATTTTTACTAAACCACTCGCTACAGCACCCTTCTTTCGCATCTGTAGGGAACTTGGTTTTCTCGATATCTCGGATAGGTTGCAACTTAATTAAGTTGCATGCTCCTTATTTTATTGCATATATTTCCTTAATGATTGATGTACTTATTGATAGTTTTAGTGAAAGCTCTCATCAATCTTCATGAAGGTAATATCCATCCTATATATTTCCCCTTCTTGATCATATATATGTGTTTATTTAGGTCATATTCTTTCTCTACATTCATTATACTATTGATATACATGTGTGATTTATTGTTACTTCCCCTATTACAGGACTTTCCTTAAAAAATGTAGTAAATCTCAAAATCTCGCAGAATGAGTCGACCCACAACAAGATTGCATCGATGCACTCTTATATAAACTCTTCATTATCATTTTTTTTAACATTGCGTCGATGCACAACCTAGTTTGGTCGATGCATCTCGCGAATTTTCAGAATTTTATTTGTATGTTGTGTGGTTTGTATTAATTCAATTATCCTTATTTCTTCCAAACCCCACAAACCCTAAACTCCTCTAAACCAAAAACAAAATTCCCTCTACTCCAAAATCTTCAAGAAAACTTCATCATGGCCACATATAGGGTTGCAAAGAAGAGAACCCTCAGAGGTAGTTCCTCCAATGCTCCTTCCGAATCTCCGGTAAATGCTCTTTCTCTTCTCTCTGATGACATAGTTGAATCTTATGAAGCTAAGTTTGGAAAGAGAAAGGTTGTTAAGATTTTTTTTTTGGAAATGACAACTTTGGGTCATTTACACCTTCCTGAGCTCATTGATCTTATTAGATTTCATAAACTTCACAACTTTCTTGAATGTAAGGATACGTATAATGAAGATCTGATTAGGATATTTTTTGTGGGTGTCCAAGGAAATTTTGAGGATTTTGAGTTTAGGTATAGGATGAATAACAAAAATTATATGATCAGTTCTCATGTTTGGAAAGATTTGGTTCAGATGTGCCCTGTTGACTCTGATTCAATTAAATTTTTTGACTCTAATGTTGCTCCTGGATATGAATTTAAGACTGTTTTGAACTCTATGCTCGAGAAACCCTACATTGAGCGGATTGTGAACAGTGATCTATTTCCTAAGTCCATGACCACGGGTCCCCTAGATCATCTTGATAGGATTTTGTTATGGATCTTTTGCCACATCATTCGACCCAAAAAGGGTGCGTACTCTCGCATGGACAAGCCAGAGGTTCAACTCATGTATGTGCTCAAGAACAAGATCAAGATTCATTGGACATACTACTTTGCTAGCATGATCTTCGATCTACACAAGTCTGAGAGAGGGACTGCGCTATGTTACCCATCATTTATCTAACGAGTTCTCAACAGAGAAAGTATTCGTGTGCCCGATATCTCTTACAAGAGTTTGGTTATGGACCAAGAATTCTCTAGTAAATCAATCACTTTAATGGGTTTTCTGTGGGATTCCCAAAGGCGATACAGACACATCGTAAGAAGTAACCGTGTACAATTCCAGAACAATAATGGTGAAGAGGATGAGGAAATTGATATTGGGAGTGAAGAAGAAGAAAGTGATGAAAATGCTGAAGATATGGATGAGGATACTCTTGCTGCTCAAAGCGAAAACTCTAGTGTGTTAGCTCAATTGGAAAGGATGCTGATCCAGCAACATGAATATGCTTCTCTCCAAAATGAACGAATCTCTAACCTCTACAATATTATTAAGGTCCAAAGTGAAACCTTTTCTTCTTACTCGGTTGTCCAAGCTCAAAGGTATTCAACCTTGCATGGCATGATTCAAACATAAGCTAACAACTTAGCCTCCTTCTAATCCACCTTCATCCAACACTTTCAGCATCCTCTTCAACAAGGTCCTTCAACCCAAGACCAATACCAAGACAATGAAAATTGAACCTGCTTTGTGTCTTGTTTTTAGCTTAAATTTTATCTTGCTACAATTTTGTCATGTTTTGCCTAACTTTATTTGCTTTCCTTAAACTTACTTTGTGTTTGTTTAAGTTTATTTGTCATTTGGTATATATAGTACTTTGTGATGATTGTTTAATTATCTCATTTGCACTATTTTTCATTTTATGTGAATGGACTTTAGTGCGTTAAGGTGCAAATTTATGATCTCTACCCTACTTTTAATTTCTACTATTAATCAAATGATTTTCTCTTTTTGATGTTGTCAAAGGGGGAGAAGTGATATGAGAGTGAGATGGACTTATAATTTTTGAGTTCTGAAGATGTGCACAAACTCACAGGGAGTTCCTTCTTCTTATGTCATTTGCTGTATTTTTTATTTGACAATATTGTGTAGGTTTCGCCATCATCAAAAAGGGGGGGTATGTGATGGCAAGATTCATATTTTCATGATGTCAAAACCTCTCTTATCCTTAATGACATGTGTGCTACATAAAATATACTTGGGACAAAGTATGGGATGCAAGCTTGGATGAAAATAACCTTTTTGGCAAGAAAAACGAAGCCTGCATCAATGCAAACTAGCTTCGGTCGACTCAAA